CACACACACACACACACACACACACACACACACACACACACACACACACACACACTGCCATACTACTACATGTCAAAAAGAGAAGTTTGACCCTGATGGCTCTGCCAGACTGAAAACAGGTGTTCTGAAGAATCTCAAGTCCTGGATCAGGACTGAGACTGACCTAAGAGGCAGGGACCACAAGGGGAAGTTCTGTCCTCACCATTAATTCCAAAACCATCTCAGCATTATTCCTAGAACCATCTAAACATTAATCCCAGAACTATCTAACCATTAATCCTAAAACTATCTAACCATTAAACTCAGTACTATATATCTATTAATCCAAGAACCATCTAACCATTAATCCCAGAACTGTCTAAACCATTAATCCCAGGACCATCTATCCAATAATCCCAGAACTATCTAACCATTAATCCCAGAACTATCTAACCATTAATCCCAGAACTATCTAACCATTAATCCCAGAACTATCTAACCATTAATCCCAGGACCATCTGTCCAATAATCCCAGAACTATCTAACCATTAAACTCAGTACTATATATCTATTAGTCCAAGAACCATCTAACCATTATTCCCAGAACTGTCTAAACCATTAATCCCAGGACCATCTATCCATTAATCCCAGAACTATCTAACCATTAATCCCAGAACTATCTAACCATTAATCCCAAAACTACCTGTCCTACAGGTAGTGCTTTATAGTAACCAGGAAACAGCAGCATAATTCTACTATCTGACTGATTGTTTATCAGCCTGAGTTTTGGAGGGAAAGACTCTGAAAGTCTTGAATCCATGTTGTTTCCAGTGGCTCTGGTTCAACTCGAGGACAGCTGTGTGGTCCAACATCCTGGTTCCATTACAGGAACAGGGATTGAGTCCAGGCCCGGGACATCCCCGCTCCAGCAGTGAGGAAACAGAAGGCTCAGATTGTCCGGGGAATTACCGTTTGGTTAATTCAGAACACTCAATGAGGGGTCAGACTAGACCCTGGTGTTATGCATTTTCCCAGAAAACCTCTGCTCATGTAAACTGTTGGATCTTTATTTTCATTGAACACTGAAGAATAATTCAGATGTTTATGTAAAATATGAGAACTAACTGAGGGAATCCTTTTGAACTGGTCTCTCTGTTCAGGTTGGGGTCTGTGTGCAGCCAAAGCCCAGTACCCCATCGCAGACATGGTGAAGATGCTGAGAGAGCAGGGGAAGACCGTCAGGTTCGTTCATGTCTTCCTGTTTAACAAACAAGACCCAGATCTTTATTCAGATATGGAGATTGTTCAAGTTTAGCTTGTTTGTTTGAAGTTGTTTTTTAATAAGGGGAGGATATTATACCATGTTTTCTTCTTTCTGAACACTTTTCATTCAGTAATTGATATACCTTTCTCAATGTTTCTTTGTTGTTCTAATGATGAAATATATAAATAAGTGAAAAATGAAATGAAAATAAACCAGTTTTTTTTTTTTTTATCCCAACAGGTTTGGGATCCACCCAGTGGCCGGTCGGATGCCCGGACAGCTGAACGTTCTACTGGCTGAAGCCGGTGTTCCATATGACGTGGTCCTGGAGATGGACGAGATCAATGAAGACTTTCCAGGTGAACTACGTAAAAAATAAGAAATTATATTTTCTGGTAAAACATAGTAAGAATGCCAAGAGCTGAAAGAATGCTGTAAGACTTCTTAAAGGCTACCTAAAGACTGCCAAATGACTGCTTAAAGACTGCCTAAAGACTGCCAAATGACTGCTTAAAGACTGCCAAATGACTGCTTAAAGACTGCCTAAAGACTTCTTAAAGACTACCCAGACTGCTGAAAGGCTGCTGAATGACTGCTTAAAGACTGCCTAAAGACTACCCAAAGACTGCTGAAAGACTACCTAAAGACTTCTTAAAGACTACCCAAAGACTGCTGAAAGACTACCTAAAGACTTATTAAAGACTACCCAAACACTGCTGAAAGACTTATTAAAGACTACCCAAAGACTGCTGAAAGACTACCTAAAGACTTATTAAAGACTACCCAAAGACTGCTTAAAGACTACCCAAAGACTGCTGAAAGGCTGCTGAATGACTGCTTAGACAGCTTAAAGACTAGATAGACTGCCAAATCACTGCCAAATGACTGCTTAAAGACTATCTAAAGACTGTCTAAAGATGGCCTGAAGACTACCCAAAGACTGTTGAATGACTGCTGAAAGACTACCTAAAGACTGCTTAATGACTACTGAAAGACTGCTGAATGACTACTGAAAGACTGCTGAATGACTTCTGAAAGATGGCTGAATGACTACTTAAAGATTACCTAAAGACTACTTAATGACTACTGAAAGACTGCTGAATGACTTCTGAAAGACTGCTGAATGACTACTGTAAGACTGCTGAATGACTACTGAAAGATTGCTGAATGACTACTTAAAGATTACCTAAAGACTACTTAATGACTACCTAAAGACTGCTTAAAGACTACCTAAAGGCTGCTGTAAGACTACCTAAAGACTTCTTAAAGACTACCCAGATTGCTGAAAGACTACCTAAAGACTTCTTAAAGACTACCCAAAGACTTCTTAAAGACTACCCAAAGACTGCTGAAAGGCTGCTGAATGACTGCTTAGACAGCTTAAAGACTAGATAGACTGCCAAATCACTGCCGAATGACTGCTTAAAGACTACCTAAAGACTGCTTAATGACTTCTTAAAGATTACCTAAAGACTGTCTAAAGATGGCCTGAAGACTACCCAAAGACTGTTGAATGACTGCTGAAAGACTACCTAAAGACTTCTGTAAGACTACCTAAAGACTGCTGTAAGACTACCTAAAGACTGCTTGACTGTTTAAAGACTGCCTGTTTAAAGACTGCCTAATGATTGCTGAAATTTGCTGAATCTGGCACTGAGCTGGTTAAAATAAAAGGCTAAAAACCAAAGTAGCAGAATTTTAGCTAAAAGTAGCTAGTTGGCTTCCTCAAGCTAAGAATAGCAAAATGTTTGCCAATAGCTAAAAGTGGCAAAAGGCTATGTAAAAGTAGCAGAATTGTAGCCAATAGCTAGTAGCCTAGAAAGATAAAAGTAGAGGCAGCAGCTGAAGCAAAGTTCTGAAGTATCTGGATGTTTTTGTTTGAAGCATGTTTGTAAGTAAAAAACAAAGTCATGGCAGCTTTCGGCTGAATGAGCTGAAGGTTTGATACATTAACAGCTAAAACACTCAGACAATGAATCCTGCAGACAGGAGAGTTCTGGTGGTGAGTCCGATGGGTCGGTGCAGAAAGAATGGTCCACAGGAAGCTGCTGTGTCTCTGCAGAGATGTGGACAGTTTTTGGACACTTGTTTTCTTAGCAACCCGTTTGTTGTTGGACACATGGTTCTGTTTATGGGTGCGGTTCTGGGTTTTCTGAGTAACAGTGTAAACCTCGCTGACCCCCCAGAGACGGACCTGACTCTGGTCATCGGAGCCAACGATACGGTCAACTCTGCCGCGCAGGAAGACCCCAACTCCATCATAGCTGGCATGCCGGTCCTGGAAGTCTGGAAGTCCAAACAGGTGGGTCGAGTTTTATTTGCAGCAGCATGGAGGACCAGAACTCCTACTTCTGGACCTCTCCCCCTCATGGCTGATGATGAGGATGTTTCCTGGTGCAGGTCATCGTGATGAAGAGGACTCTGGGTGTGGGATACGCTGCTGTAGATAATCCCATCTTCTACAAACCCAACACAGCCATGCTGCTGGGAGACGCCAAGAAGACCTGCGACGCCCTGCAGGGCAAGATCAGGGAGGCCTATTACTGACCTGTAATAACCTGTAATAACCTGGTAACAACTGGTAATAACCTGTAACCTGGTAATAACTTGGTAACAACTGGTAATAAACTGGTAGCATGGCATTAACCTGTAATAACAGGTAACAACCTGTAATAACCTGGCAACAACTGGTAACAACCTGGTAATAACCTGTAACAACCTGGTAATAACTTGGTAACAACTGGAAATAAACTGGTAGCATGGTATTAACCTGTAATAACCGGTAACAACCTGTAATAACCG